TGTACCTTCAAGAGATACTATCTCCACATTTCCCAGTTCCCTCATTCAATTCTGTTTGCTCTAGGCTCCTCAACGTTCCAAAGACTACACACTATATGTTGGGGGACCAAGACTTTTCAGCAGACGCACCCCGTCTTTGGAATACACTTCTAAAACCACACCCTCTGTTGATGTTTGTAAATCTTGTCTCAAGATGTGTTCTCAGTGGCCTTCAGTTCCGAATAGAATTGTTTAATTTCATAATTGATACACTTTGTGTATTTTATTATTATTTTCTGATTAATTTACATTTATATTTTTATGTAATTTACATGAAGTATCTTCACAGGTGCTTCTAGGCAAATGAATGTGCAATTAGCATACAAAGCAGACAGACAGAGCCACAGTCAAAATCAGCTCAAAGCACTGAAGCTCAATTAAAGGAATAATAATGCCTCAGAGCAGTTTCTTCTCTCCACATGTGTTTTATTTTTCCAGTAGGAACAACTCCTCTTTAGAAGGGACGTTTCATGGGACAATAATATTATCTGTGAATGCTGCATAATAACTGAAATATGTTATGGCTAAAATAAACATTTTTGGGGATTTGTTGACTTCCAGTCCAAACTCTGATAAGCAATTGTAAAAAACGTTTTTCAGTAACAGTGCAGGGCAAGTTGATCACCCTGTAACAGATCCAGTCTGGATATGACAGGCCCTGCCCTGATATATTCTAACTGCTGGCATGAGCTGTAATTAATCCCCTCACATTTTTTTCAGGTTTATGATGTACAGTAGTTGTGTAGAGGCCAAAGCTTCTGACTTAGCTTCTAGTTAATGCTACAGGGAATATACAGCACTTTGCACTAAATGTCACCAGTATACTGACAGTATAAAATACACCCTTTAGATAGTAAGGTTCCTTGCTTATGTTTGCACATTGCTTACCCTGATATACCTACCCACCTAATAGTTTTAAGCCAAGTGTCTCTGCCTTTGCAATTGGAGTATTATGCAAAAGCCATAGTAGTTAATTAGGAATTATACAATTTTTCATAAATAAACTTAAGGCTCTAAACATCAGTTCTCATTTTCAGATTTCTTGTGTCCTGAAAAAAAATGCTGATGTCTATAAAGACATGAGGCAATTACATTGAAGCTCTCACTGGACAGAGCACTGATACATATTTGCATACATTTGTTTTGAAAATAATACCACCCAGTAAATATTTTTAGTTTAAATTCAAAATATAAGGCTGACATATCAGATTTTCACCTGGTTTAGGTGAAGCTGAATAAGAGTTCCTCAGTGTTAATGCTTCTGCAATTAATAGTACCAGTTATAAACTAACACAGTTTTAAACATTGGTCTTTCCTATCTCTGTCAATTGAAGCTACATGCCAAAATATTGTATTTTTGAATTTGGGGTTATGCTGTTATGTATGGCTGAATGCATATTAGTAAACTGTTTTTTTCTTGAAATTTTTCATATTTGCTCCCATGTGATGTCTTTTATGAAGGATTTAAATTTCTGTTACACTACAACTTGTGCTGTCTATTGTTTCCAATCTCTGCTTGCACACAGTTTTATACCAGTGCTGAAGATGCAGAGCAAGGCCTAGCTCATTGGCATTGCTAGCTCAAAGTGGCACCAACACGAGTAAACACAAATCCTTGCAGAATGACAACGAAAAAAGAGCTGGATTTTTTTGTTTTCACACCAGTGGTAGCTGGAGATGTCTGTATTATAGGAGGTGCAGGTACAGATAGCTTATTGAGAAATGGGAGATTTAAAGTTGCAATGAAAGACTGTCAGTGAATGATGTTTCAGCATTTAATTAAGAATGCAAAGGTTTTTAACAACTTCAAGCCATGGCTTTTAGCCAGGGATATAGAGGAGAAAATCACATGGGCCTACCTCTGTGTAAGGTGTGAAACACAGCTCACTGGGTGATGTTACATTGTTGAAACAGTTGCCTGGCATCTTCCTGCCTCTCTTTCACTGTATTCTGCAATGGTTTCTCCTGGTCATTCTCTGTGTAAAGCCCAGTCATCGTTTTGTCCTTCTGAAGGTCAACACTAATCTTATACAGTATTCAAATGATTAAAGAACATTAAAAATGTAAACATTTAAATTAAAATAATGTATTAGTAGCATTTAAGTTTTGACATTTGAGAAATATATAAAAATACATTTTTTCTCTCTGATGTTGCTGGCATTTTCTCTCTTTAAAAAGATAAATTTTATTAAAAGAAACTTAAAATTAAAAGATGAATTTAATTTATTTGTAATGCCCTCCCTGTAAATTTTGTATTGTTTTCCCATGCCACCTAGCAAAGGGAGCTTGAGAAGCAAATCAATAACATTAAAAGCAGGGATTTATCCTGTAACCACCTGGGTTTGCCCCTCCGTGAAAAAATAGACCCAAGACTCCAATCCACCTCAATGTGTGGATTGCTGAAATCATCTGAAATGTCCCAATTACTGTTACAATAGGACTCTGACAATCAATATTAAATCTGGATCAAGGCTTTATGAGCCATTTAAAAATGATAAAATTTAATTGAACTTTTATTCACATTATAATATTGCAGCGGCCACACATTGCTCTCACAAATCCTGGTACAATGACACTGTTGAACTTTAAAGCCTGTTTGAATAAGAGCCAATGTGTATTGTATAATCTGTGCTAATTATTAGACCGTAAACACATTTGCAACTGTTCTGTTTCTCCCTATGGTTACGCAACTGTGGTTCAGAGGTTGGCTCTGTCTAGCAGTTAGCATAGACCAAGGAACCAGCCCACTCCAGACTCACTACCACATTGCTACATTCCTACAGTCATTCCCCCTGCTAGGTGCAACAGTTTTGAATCCAAGGAAAAGAACCATCCCCACTGACTACAAGTGCCTCAGACACTTCAGAGTCACGTGAACAGTTGCACAATTCAATCATATTAATTGAAGAACTATGAATTGTAGTAGACATTCGAGCATTTGAATTGCTCAAATCTGAATGATGGAGACCCTGATTGTAGAGCCCTTCAAGATCCTCTGTACAAGTGCTTGTAAAGGCTTTAATAATATAATGTGAAAGTCAATAAAAATACTACATATTTTTCATTTAATTTGAAGGAGCCTCTGAGTTTTACATGGATTTTATAGGAAGGGTATTATCTTTTAGATTCAGTGAGCATTTTATGACTTGTTTGTTAGATGTTTTTAACTTTCTTTTATTGTAAGTATAAAACTAGGTTTGGTTGAAAAAAGCACATTTCAACAAAATCTGCTCTTGCACTTTTGGATGAATAGCCAGCATAAATGACCTTCACTAGGCAGGAATTAAGAAGAGGGCTTCTATTCACAAAAAGATCACTGTTCTAAATGAGAAGGTAACAGTGGGTTTTGAAAAATTTAGACTTTCTTTTGCAAAGTTCTGTATAGTCAATATCGAATGATTCTCATTTAATCACCATAATGAGTTACAGTACCTCCTATTTCATGTTAGAATCATACATATTGAAAGATCATTTGATTAAGTGTATACATCTGGAATATTATCAATATAAACATTGTAATATTGTAATATATTACAATATATGTGCAATGTTACAATAGAAATACTCACAACATTGGTAAGGTCCTTTTTGCTTTTACCATTTTTTTGAATACTTACTTCTAGGAATATAAAATGTGTATGTCATCACTGCACAACATTTTGTTCCTTTCTTCCTGTAGGCTTTATATCTTGGTTACTTAGCTGTGTCAGTCTTTGGTTTTGCCAATTATGAATGTAGAGAGCTTATTTTCCACAGAATCTTCTTGGCATGCAAGATATATTGATCTAAATATATTGATCACACAGGAATGGTTATACAGTCAAATCAATTTTAAAGATTAATTTTCAAATTGCAAGTGATAGACATTCGAGGTAATGATGCATTTGGAGCTGATAAATGGATTGAAAACTACAAATATAAATTGGTGAAGAACCACAAGGATCTTTATTAGGACTACTGCTCTTCCTACTTTATATCAATGATCTCGATGATGGTAAACGTAGTGAACTAGTCAAGTTCACATATGACACCAAAAGACTGGGCAAACTGGGAATTGATATTTAATGCAGACAAGTGCAGAGTGTTAAATGCCAATAAAATAGGAAACACAGATCTTGAAGAAACGGCTTATGAAGACTATGTTGAAACATTTACATACAAACATACCGAGAAGCAATGGAAATGAAAAGCAAATCCAATATAAGGAAATACAGTGATGTATTTAGAAATTAAATGAAAGGGTGCTGCGTTAAAATAGTACAATACACTAGTACCTTATTTAGAATACTGTCACGTACTTTGATCACCACATTATAAAGAAATATTTGCACTCTGGAATCAATCCAGAGAAGAGTGGGCATCATACATCAGCATCAGCATCAGATTATAAATATCTCATCATGTACCATTACACTAAAGCAGTGAGGATTTTAAACAAATATCGACATCTGATTTAACTGGACAATCAAAATTAAATATATAATTATTTAAGAAAGGAGATTATGTATATTATCAGAATAGTTTAACGTTGAAAAACATATTTCTGCATTTGGAAATTTGCATTTGGTTTGTTTCAGGCGCTCGTAAGAATATCAGGCATATTCCTGAAAGATATTAATTTGTTTCCACCATTTTTTTTTTCAAATCCAGTATCTGCAGAATACATAGTATAGTAGTGTAGTTATAAGATGTACTGATAATATGCACTAGAAAATGCCGGCACAACCTTCAAACGTGTCATCTAAGTTTGCTACAAAACAGATGGGACGAACTGCCAGTCATGCGTTAAACTTTAATTTAATCCCGCATTTGGCTAAGGTTTTGTAACGCAAATCCCATGCACACACTCCACAAAAGGACAGAGATATCTGACGGATACAAATTAACCGATGTCGGTGTTGTATTCTGCTTGCCTGCAACTTCCTGGAATGCAAATATTTCTCCTCCTCCAACGACTACGACAGCGTCAAGGTTTAGAAAAAAAGCCGCCTTCATTCTGAGACCAGGCAAAGCACAAGCTGCAGGCAGAAGACGTAATCATTAAGCGCACTTATTTTTTAAGTTTTATTTTTTTGTGGGTGGGTAAAGATTCTATGTATGTATGTGATCTGCTTTACAAGTCGGATTCTGTTTTTTAATGAAAATATTTTATTCACTCATAATTCTTAAAATTTAACACCCCGAAAAAATGGTTCTACGCGTTTTGTTTCGTGCTGTCATCATGGGACCCCCAGGCTCCGGAAAAGGCACAATATCGGACCGTATAAGTAAAAGTTTTGGATTAAAACATCTTTCCAGCGGAGACGTTTTGAGAGCCAATATTAAAGCCAAAACCGGTAAGCAGTTACAAAGGTGAAAGATACACACCAAAAGCATTTGACGAGTTGTAACAGATATATGCTACTTATTTTCTGATCACACGCGGCAGACTTTGGTGCAGGGATACAGTTAACTTACAATAGACTTGCTACTGCTTTTGTTAGTTTAGTGCATTGTACGTTCTGTGCCTTTGGTTTCACTTTTAAAACTTTGCAGTCTGCACCAATGATATAGCATTCAAAGCCGAATATGTAAAAACGTCTTCTATCCACCTACATTTTTTTTAACCCCGAACGGAAACCAAAACGTTTTTTTCTCTACAGTTCGTGTGTACAGTGCAGTTCCTTTTTATCGTATGATCACTGAAGACATGTATAGGTTCTAAAGCTGTTGGGTAGTTATTTTGGAGTTGAAGACTAAAGTCATCGGCTCTATGCAGGAACGCAAATGTAAGAAAATATAATACAATGTAGAGGTCAAAATAACATTTAAAGACATAAGACAACTTCAAAAGTGTTCCTTTACATGTATATTTTCAAAGAAAGGCTATCATCACGTAAAGACATACTATTCACATGCATTTCATAATGGGTTCATATCAGATATAGAGACCTAGTTAACCATTTTGAGCTGTCGTTTAGATATTTTATTTTTGCGTTTAGATATATTATTTCTTTTGGCTAATTTCGTGCTTAACCGTGAAAGTAATTCAGACATAGATGTGAACTACACAGTGGCACTACAGTGAGTGGTATTGTACTGTATGTCTTGGTTATTTGCTGAATTCAGCCACGCTGTCTCCACTATTTGGAGGCTGGCCCATAAAGTATTCACTGTCATAGCATATACATTCTTGTAATCGCAGGCTTCTGCCAGTTGTCTTATGAACTTTGATCCCTGTTTCGAAAGCAGATTAGGTTTTCTACTTATCAAATTATATATTTTAAGATAATGTCAAAAACCTCTTCTGCCAATTGTCTTCTTATGAACTTTGATCCCTGTTTCGAAAGTAGATTAGGTTTTCTACTTATCAAATTATATTTTAAGATAATGTCAAAAACCTATCGAGCTACTCAGTACACATTTGACATTTTCGTTTTTTTTCTTAAGACGTACAGTAGCGACAGTAGGTTCTGCCCCCACCTGTTACCCCCTCTGTTTTTCCAGGAATTTAGGTTTAACGTTCTGCAAATTCTGAAGTTCCTTGGGTGTGAACTGCGTTGGTAATGGTCTATATTGCACCAGTTATCCTCCATCTTTCATAGATATTTTACTTGGTCGTGATCTGGATGGGGTGGTGTTTTATGCTAAAATAACATTTCTGCCTTCTATGCTAGTCTTTTACCTTAGCATAGCCTTAGAAATAGATTTTAAGCCCTACAGTATATCCTAATGTATCATACTTAAACTCTTTCACTGTGGGTAAGGTTATACACCTGCTGTTCACAGAATGTTCTTGGCTTGAAATCAACCATTTAAATTAGTTTTTTATGATTATTTTTTCATTATCTCACAAATGTTTTCTATGAACCCCTCAACTTATATTTTGTGATCTTGAGATCTCTGCCGTAATATACCATAAAATTGCCATAATCATTAACCTCTAAATGACTTATGCGTTAGGGTAGTTTTGATTCTTTCCTATTGTTTCAAACGTAAATACACCCATAATCTGCGTTTACTGTATACTTCATTTTTCCTTTATTTCTTATTAACCTTGAGCCCGGCTCCACGAGCTATTGAGCTACTGATTGCTTCAAGTTGAGATCATTCCACAAATGCAGTCTTTGCCTTAACATGTGTCTGTCATTACCTGTGATTATAAAGACCTTAATGCTGGCCTTTTTACAGAACAGTCCCGTTTCACTTAAGGCCTTGGACTTGTAGAGAATTAATGTAGTTTGGTTTGACCAAAACGTCCTTCTGGAAAGCCTTTTAAATTCGATACTGTGAGGTCGATTGTACAAAAAGAACTAACAACAGGTAGTGTTAGCCAAGCCAAAGTACTGTATGCAACGGAAAACTTTATCTTGTTTCTAGATATAAGTTTAGTAACGTAGGTAAGACTAAACACCCGTGTAGAACGAACGTGTTTTTTACAGTTCAAAGTTTTGTTAAATATCTGGCATTGGAATACCTGTAGTGCACTTTTATGCACGAACGCTGTATCAAACTAAACTTCAATGTGCCCTAACAATGCGCAACTGCCGATTCTCTGGACCCAGAACAAGGGTGCTATCGTGACACTAGTGTCAACCCCCTGAGTGCACTGACGAGGCCTAAGTGAGAAACAGGATTTTAGGCTGTGTAGACCATTGTTGATCTGTCACCAAAGTGATTTAAATTTTATATTATAAACAACAAGAATAAAACAATATAAATATAGAAAACACTCGTTTTTTAAATAAATGAAATAAGGACCGACGAAGTGGTAATTGGCTTTCTGTGCTGCTGCAGTTTCAGCTCGCACTCTCTTAGTTGCAATTGAATTTCTTCATCCTGCGCTGGTCCCTCCACATACTAATTACTGTTGTATCGATAGAGGAGTTTAAAGGGACGTGCCGTTGCTGCGCTGTCAGGAGCGAAGGAATGTCGCACAATAGCGCGCTGTGAGTGGACTGCTAATGGAGCGTGGTTGTAGCTTTTTTCAGAAACGCGTGGTAAAGTTAGCTTGGAGAAAAGTGCACATCTTTAATATGGTCAACTTTAGATGCATATGAATTTTGCTAAAACTTTGAAGTTTTCAGTCTTCGTATTGATTTTTTTAAGTCGCACTTTGTACGACGGTTAGAAGCGCAGGTTATGTGGAAAGTGTACACTAAATCAATTCGGTGACACATATGGGCCTATAAAAGCAACGATGGATTGTAAACCTATTTAAAATATCTATTTAATTAATACCAAACACCTACAGAATCCACTTGCAGCAGTTTTAACAGATTTTGAACACACAGGTATTTGGTTAATTGGTTAATTAAAGTTTAAGTCGTATTTTTTTTAATGGATGGCAGGACGAGTAGGGAACATCATTTACTTTTGAGAACTCTCTGTCTGGTAGGGCCAAAGCATTTTATTTCTTAAGGCCTTGGTTTGCATATTTAAAACTAAAGAGTCCGATAAGGAAATTAGAGTAATTATTGGAAATTCAGGCTTGTGGAATGGCTCAGTCATCAGTATTCTGTGTTAAGGCAGGAGAACTGTGAGAAACGATAACAAATAACAGATGAAACACTGTATTCAGAAATAAATAGAAATAATAATGCCAGGGTACTATGGCTATACATATACTATATGTGCTAAATATGGAGATTGGAGAGAGAAAATAATTTCACTAACTTTTTCTCCAAGAGCACCATCTTATATTTAGGTTTTGAATAATGTATGTCTGTTACAATGATAATTTGGCAAGGAGCCTACAGTACTTCTTTATACATCTGAGCATTTGCTGAACAATTTATGCGACATTCCTTGCTTCATGTTGGAAGCAAGGCTGGACTACAACCACAGCTAGAGTGAGTTCATCACACAGGGACAATGTAAAGATACCAGTTACCCCAGCCAGCACCCCAGCCAGGAAGAGGCAGAAAACTTAAGAGGACAGGGTAACAACTTGCACCAGCATGGAGGAAACATGCAAACACCAACTGGAGAAACTTCAGGACCAAATCTGAGAAAATGTCCTTCCAAAAATAATAGTTCTTCAGAAACAGGTGGTCAAGAGATCCTCACAAAGGACATCTCTTTTTTATAAGCTCTTTAAAACCTAATAGTTTCATTTCAGTGGGGTATGGAAGAGTAAATTAAACTGGAACGAGAATGTAGGAGAACAGGTGTTGGGAAAGAGCTTTGTGAAGTTCAAATGTAAAACTGAAAACACTTCAATGGATTTCATTTTAAAATACAAATTAAACTGATAATAACAGATGGGAAATTAACCAATACACACAGGTGCTTTCAATTTGAAGGTTATTGTACAGTATGTTTGTGTTTGACATAATTCTCAGAAAGACCTTGACTTCACCTATGTAGTAAAATCAAACTCCATATGCAGGGACTGAATCTATTTATACAAAAATATCTATTAATTTATTAAGTTCTAACCAACAGTATTTTTCAATATCTTTAATAAATTCTATTTTAAGCAATTAAGATATTTATGCTGTATTTTGCTAAACATGCAGTGGTGTGATTTAGACAAAAGTAAGAATTTAAAAGGAATTGGAAGTATTCTCACTGTCTGCTTTTATAGTGGCCTCCTTGAAGTCTGTGTAGAACGTGCATTTCCAAGGTCTCTGGTTTTCCTTCTGTAACTGTCTTTATTTTATGTTTTATTTATCATGTCCTGACCACTGCAAAGCAGAAAACACACTGGAAGTGTATTTACCAATGAAAGCACTGTGATCTGTCCTCAGCTATCCTTGCAATTTGGTCTGGATGACCATATTCACAATTTGCAGATTACAATCATTTTAATCATCAGTCTCAGAGAAGACTTTCAGAAAGTCCTAGATTCTAGAATGCATTCACTTTCTACATATATGCCAATGGAATTTGTGAGAAACAGATACAGGTTTTCCATTGCAACTTTCTAAAGCAGTGTAATTAAAATGTGTGTCTGGGGTATTTTTATTTGATGGGAAAGGGGCTGTGTTGTAGGGAGAAATAGATTGAAGGAAGGCACGGAAGTTTCTGGTGACATCTTTTATTTCTGTCATTGTAGAAATAGGGCTCCTGATGAAGTCCTGCATTGATCAGGGCCAGCTGGTTCCTGATGATGTCATTTCAAGGTTAATACTGCAAGAGCTGAAGACCATGGAGCAACACAACTGGCTGCTTGATGGTAGGAGGATTATGGAAAATTGTATG